GGGGGGGGGTGGGGGGGAGGAGTTGCACATTGTAAACTTGCAATTCTTGGAGGCAGGAGGTCATACCACCAAAAGACCCCATACATGTTTCTATCAGAAAAGTAAGATTGTAAAATATGACAAAATATTTCGTACTTTCTTAATATGAATATGAGCAAGTGCAAGTCAGAATAGTATACTCTGTTTTGTTGTTTGAAATATTTACATTATGTATATAGCATTATATACAGAGTAAGTTTGTAAGCTTTTGGATAGAGATTGTCAAGGCCTTAGCCAATCCATTGCATATTTTAAAGTTCGTTTATAAACTGTTCATAAAGGTTGGATTTCTTTATAATATTCTCATATACAATGTAGTATGCATATAGAAACATTTTGGTCTACAGTAATTGTACAATTGCTTTCAAATGAAGGATCAGTTGCCATATGATATCAGCCAAAACAAGTTCTTTGCTGATCTGCTTTAGCAAGGCTATATGCCTGAGGGTAATTTGTAGAAATGCTATACCAGTAGTTTATTGTTGCTAGGCTGCAACCAGTAGTATTATCAGGTACATTCTTATGTTACATCATCTAACATATCCACTGGATAGAGGGAAATCTGCATGTAAACAGCAGTGTATTCTATTACAACATAGAATAGACCAGCTTTATAATCTTTTGTGATAAGATTATAGCTAGGCAAGTGTTATGTTATCTTTGACCACACAAGACTTCTCGTATTCTTTAGTTCTGTGGTTACTATAGTAGTCTGTTCATGAATACAAAAATATTAGTAGTATAATGATAGCTAAGGGTGTATTCCCATAGATTTTAGATCGATCTATCCCTGTGGGGAGTCTCACTAGATTACTGTCAGATAATCCGACTTAAATGTCCGTCTTGCCTACAAGCTGTAAGGGGGTAATTAACTTTCGTGCCCGCTCGGCTGACAGCTATTTAGCATGAACCCCCAGGGAGTTAGGTCGATCTAGTTTTGATCGATCTTATCTCTGGGAATGGGGTCTAAGACTGGGTTCCCATGCCTAGATCGATCCATCAGGATCAACCTAACTCCCTGGGAGTTCATGTTAAATTGCTGTCAGCTTCAGAGGCTTAAATGTCTTTCACGCCTACCGAATCAGCTAGGGAGGTAATTAACTGGGACTCGCCAATAGCAGAAAGCAATTTAGTGAGACTCCCCGTAGAGATAGATCGATCCAAATATCTATGGGAATGGTCCCTAACTGCCAGTGACTGAAACAATTTTAGACTGAATCATCATTGGATAGGCAATTATAGTAATTTAAATATTAATTTTGCTACTTATTGTTTCAGATTCATGCACGATATATATATATGCATGATTCAGAAATGTTTTGAAGTATTTGGAGTTTAGATATATATCACTTTGAACCTCAGTTGAAAAAAATTGAAGTTCTACATTTTATTCAGTGTCAGAAATAAAAGGAAAGTATGCCAAGAATATACCCAAAATATGTGCTAACTGAAAACCTATTGAGAAAGATGTTTTTAAATTTAATGCCATATTTGTTTTATATCAATACATGTTAAACTTGTATTTATACAGAGTGAGCCTGAATTGCAAAATAGTTACAAGTACTAGTTACGTACTAAATTTCAAAGAAACAGGTAGTTTTGCCCAAAAATGTTACCTGTGCCACATTCAAGATTCTAAACTTAATTATAAAATTTGTAAACTTATAAAGTTGAACTTCATTTCATGTACAGAACTGTGCTCTATAGTGGAACTTGTGAAACTTATAGTGACATATTAAGAAATTTATATGATTATGTACATATTGGTGGGCTTTATTGGGACTCATAAAACAAATGAACTAAATATAAACAACTCTTCCGTTTGTAACCCAGTACATACGGAGGAATATTTGGAAAGCAAAATAAAAACTAAAAAATATAAGATAATTGACTTAATTAGATATGAAATAGTTAAATGTAAAATGGAGTTTACTCTACCTAGCTATTCAGACCACTGAACAAAGCAGGATTGATTCATCTTCAACCAAAACATGTAGTCATTTATTGGAAGCGATTTGTAATTCCTTACATGCATTTGACGATTAATTGTATTGATCATTATGTCAGGAGTGCTCTTTGTTTTCTGTCTTTAATGTAGTGAAGCAGTTAGAACATGGTCGCAATGTAAAACTATCATGTAGGCAGAATTAGGTTGTTCTGTGGGGCATCAGATATAAAACACAGTCTGTCCATTTCCTGTGGAAAAAAGTGGAAATGAATAACAATGCATGCTCTCGGATAGTTCAATGAGAGTGGTCACAGATAGGTTTCTGGTAATTTTCAGTGTTGAGCGGGATGTTGATGCGCTTCCTGTTATTGCCTGTTTTGTCTGTGTCGGATAACTTGCAAAGGGGCCAGAAATCAATATATTGCTGTAATTCACTGATTTCCCAGCATGGTATTACTCGGATATAGATAAGCCAGTAACTGAAGGGAAACAAAGAGGATTAAGGATAGATTTCTAAAGATCTGACTCCAGCATATTTTGAAAATATTACTGAGCTAGACTGATCTCATTTATTTTGAATGGGGTGTCTTATCAATAAAGATGAAATTTATGTTTGATTGGCTTTGATGCATGCGTTTCTGAGGTGTCTTTTAATGTGGGTTTCAGGTGCTGTCTAGACAAACTACTACCTGAGAGTAGAAGCCCATATGTTGGTGGCTTCTACATGAAAAAAGATGGAGAAGACACTCTTGCAACTAGCCATGCTTATTAGGTAAATATCAGCCATAACTTTTTATTTTTATTTTGAAATGGCAAATATGAGAATGAAGGCATGATTACCCTTTTTTCTCCTGTTTGATATCAGTGGGTAATATTGTAGATTCTTGAAATTCTTAAAATAAAAGATAATGAATGATCTGTATTTGCCATTAATGTACCTTGAAAAGATAATTAATATGCTGATACTGATAGAAATGCTAAAAATGGTAAGAATTTCACCTGTATTTTATGGACCAAAAATTCAAGTAACAAGTGTCAGATTGAAGCATGAATAATTGTGCAAACCAACAAGATACCACAAAGGGATTATGTGGACCTTATTTCATTGTCTCCCTTGTCATTAATGATGTAGTGTTTTATTCTATATGATTTGCATTAAGACATCTGCTTACTTAGTAAGCTGATTTACATGGAGACTAATTGTATGCTTGGGTATAAGTGCTTGACAGGTTAGCACATTTTATGAACTTCATGAATGTTGTGAGACTTGCACTGAAAGGAACTGCCTTTACATGTGTTTCATATGTGATGTACCTTTGCTGGTACAGAAATGAGTGCTGCATTTGAGTAAAATACAATTTGTTTTTAATTTGATTGCAGAGGCACGTGAAACTTAACCTAGCTGAAAGAATTTTGGCACATACAGGTGAGTGCATAGAAGTCTACTAAGAGTGACAGCTAGGTAGAAGGGATGCAGAAGTACATGTATAACAAAACTGAGTGGGTCTATTTGTAACTTTTTTTTTTGTACATATACAGTTTTTCAACAAAATGTCCATTTGTAAATCAGAAAGGATACTTTAGATGTTCCCAGACTTTTGCAAAATTATTTACTCTGTGGTCAGTGTGATAATGGGTTAATCATCACTTTTGGTATCTTAAAATTACTAGTATGCATTTAGGAAATTAAAATTGTAATTAACAGCAATGGGACTTATAGGGAATTTATTTATTTAAGTCTGAAATAGGCAAATTCAGATATGTGCTATGGTATTATCAATCTGTGGTTACCATGTACATAGTGTGCCAACTGGCTCAATCTCAATCTTCATTTTCTTGCCATGTGCATTTTTTTCACTTTCACATTTTTAAAGATTCCTTTTGATTTCATCATATAATGCAGATTTCAAAGTATATAATAATTTCAAATATTTCAAATTTGTTCTGACAACATTTTATGAAACTAGTGGTCTTTTTGGTAGGTGCTGCATTTTTAAGTACTAGTGTATGTGTTTAGAGTTTTATTTGATTAGATATGTTTGGATACTGAAGGTTGTCCAGAATTAGAATTTGAACAGATGGCTGGCTAAGAGAGGATGATAAATAGTGATTAATTGGTAGAGGATATTTTGGGTTTGATGCAAGACTGCTTCCATATTAATCTACTAGCAGTGCATGTCCACTTGATCAGAAAATATGATTTATCCATATATACTGTAATGTAGGCATTAGCCATTTACAGACTGTGCCTAGTTGGGGAGAGAGAGAGAGGGATGTCTTGAATCAATAAAGGGGGGGAGGGGTTCTTGGTGCATTTTACTGGATTGTCTGTAAATT